GGAAGGTGGGGCCGGGGGGTGGAACCCAAATTTTGCCGGGATTCGAAAAGGGCGTTTTTGGGGGAGGACCCCCTGCGGTCCCCCCCCCCCCCCCCCCGCCAACCCACAGAATAAATAATCCTGTCCGTTGCTGTAGCACATGACCCATTTTTCAGTTCTCCTGTCTCGCTGTCTCGGCTTGTTGCGGGCGGTGGGCAGAGAGATGTACGCCCTACAGATAGTAGGGCTACAGGATGCACAGTCTGCACGCGCCTCCATGTCTCCATATTCATTGCGGGTGATTGTTGTATGTTTTCGTAGTACAACAGCAGTAGTACTAAGCTGTGTGCATGGGCGATTCACATTCCTCACAATCTTCTGTACGTGTTTTACGGATTCGCTACGTCCGCCACGTTTACAGAAGTTCCGAGTTCGATAGCCAGTCGGGTTCCGGTTACCCCAAGAAGACTTCTCTTGCCTGGAAAACAAGAAAAAGTCTCGAAAAAAGGGGGGGGTAATGTGGAGACCACCTTCATAAAGGTAGAAACTCCCCAACGTCTGTCGAGGACGATTCCCTCTTTTCACAACATATATATTAGTTTCTAATTTACTCTGATGATACGGGAGCATTTGTTGTTGGTCAAGTGTGAACAATAGTGTGAACGGTGCCTCTAATATACGACAGGACGTACCGGACCCGCCAGCTTCTTGTTCTGGAGCAGGTTTGTTTGTGTGGGGCGGGGGCGGTACATGTAAATATTTGCCTGCAACCTAGTCTAGGGTAGTGAGCTAAGCTTTCCTTTTTGTCTACCAAAGACGGAAATCTCTCTGTGCCGACGCAGACAAACGCATCTCGAAGATTCGAAGTGTTCTTTGTACGTGTTGACCGTTGCCTGCCACTCATGTCATAATTTTGGTATTTGCAATGCCGTCAAAACAACAGGGTTCAAACTACGGGTGGGTGTGCGCAAACGGGAGCACATACCAGCCACGACGACAAACTCTTGGAGTAAACATGGGATGTCACAATTTACTGCCTTTTCTCTTACATACCCGGCGCTGCCAGCCTCTCGCTACGGTCATCTTTCATCAACCTCCGTGAGTCCGTGATTTGTGGCGAGGTTGCCCCCTCCCACCCCGAAAAAGCGCCTCCCGCGTCCTTTCCCCTCTTAACGCGCCGTCGAAATCTGCGCTTGGCCAACGGCTATTTGGTACTATCCTGCCGTCGCCGATCCGAAATGCATGATTATTTCTTTCGCAACGAACGCGCTTCGAAAACAGACAGGAGTCAGTCCTTCCATTCGACACCTAATAGTGAACCTGCTTTCTTCCCGTTTCAAAAGCGACTGATGTCTCTCCCGAAAGCCCATGCCTTGAACCAGTGCATCGGTATCAACACCTTGTTGGCAACGCTAACCAGAGCAAGACGAGACGAGGGCAGCGGGGGGGGGGGGGGGGTGGGGGCCCAACGCCAATTCAAAATCTTCAGCGAAGTTTGTTTGTCATGGAAACCCC